GCACATTTCGTTATTTGCCTGGAAGACTAGCACATTTCAGATTTTTGTGTGGAAGAGGGATACGCAAGGTAGTTCATATAAGGTTGTAGCAGCCGTTAAAAAAAAAGTTACATAAATATGTATGTTTATACTATAATTATTTTTCTTCGGTCATGCTGAAAGTTTAGTGTTGTATATGGAGCCTTTTGGCCGGTTATTACAAGTAAAATAAACGTTTATTTTTCCTCCTACACCTTTCGACATTCGCGTCTTTCTCAGGGAATCTTTATTTATAAATAAATACGAAAAAACATATACATACAGTATCATATCAAGAGTACCCCGTTTCAAAGTGATATTATTTATGTTATGTTTATTTATTTACTTAAAAAACCTTCAATTAAAATAAAGTTAATTCTCTTAAAAAAATCCATATTGGCTCAAGTTTAAAGCCCAGGAGAATACTAAAAAAACTCAACAAATTTTCAACAACGCAAACGCAAATGAAATATTTTCCTTCGAAGAACTGTCCAAATATTTTCATTGGCAAAAAATTAAGATATCACATGTACGGAAAATTACAATAAAAAATAGCAAAAATCAAGTAGACATGGCAGTAAAATACGACTTTATGCAAAGCGAGGAGAAGTTGAACCTAATGAAAAAAAATGTTCAATGGTCAACCATGAAACACTGTGAATTGCCTAAAGCTTACAAGGGAAAAATACCTTAAAAAAAAAGAAAAGTGGATGATATTCAACAAATGATTAGTAAACGGTATATACCGTCTGAATTTCATGATTTTCATAATACAATTAAAGAAATATAGAATAAACGTTTGAATTTTCAATATATATTATGCTTTTATGATTTACTTTAAACCGGAGACGTGCAGTTTTCGCGGCTTAACAATCTGAAATATGCTACTCTTCCAAGGGAAAATCTGAAATGTGCTAGTCTTCCACGCAAAAATCTGAAATGTGCTAGTCTTCCACGCAAATAACGAAATGTGCTAGTCTTCCACGCAAAAATCTGAAATGTGCTAGTCTTCCACGCGAGAATCTGAAATGTGCTACTTTTCGACGCGAATAATGAAATGTGCTAGTCTTCGACGCGAATAGTGAAACGTGCTAGTCTTCCACGGTAATTTGAGATGTGCTACTCTTCGTTGGGAGCGACGATATGTATGGTCACTCTATGCATCATCGACAATCCACTGTGAACCATCTTGTTTGGAAGATGAGGATAGTACAGAACATTTTCTCTGCCGCTGTCCGGTCTTCGCCAGACTAATTTAGATGGCACATTCTTTATCGGATCTATTGGGAATGGACGAGCTACATTCTCTTTCCCTCGACAAAGTGCTAAGATTCAAAAAGGAGTACCACCCATATATCCATATCCTCTAAATCCTCTCCCTAGGCCTTAAGTACAATGGGCAATAATGCCTAAGTGCTTGAAAAAATTATTTTTGGTTTTTCCGGCCAAATAAATTTCCATTCTGCTGCTGCTGGCTTTGAACAAATTCGCCGAAATTTCATCTATTTATTGATTTGGATTCCTAAACATCCTGTATGTACTTCTAAGGTACATACTCTGGTATGTACTTCTAAAGTGGCTCGTGTCTTATTTCGCTACAGGGTGTTAGTCCTTTTAATTGCTATAAATAAAGATTTCTACGTTCATCTTTGTAAACTAATTTATTTCATTAACTTTCAGATACATTCAAATTCGTGGTAAACGACACACCGTCAGCTGTACGGAAGACCTGTCAATACAGCATCATTCCGGCGAGACTTGTCCCGTGTGTGGTGTTTATGAACCGCCTATAGTGCCACAAATGCCTACCATTATGTCACAGCAGTCGACTGGCGCTGGAGCAACAGGTGGTGGTGGTGGTGGTATTCGCACAAGACGTACCGGCCTGCTGACTGTAACAGAACGACCGCCAGGTTAGTCGGAAATTTATCGAGCTGGGATTTTGTAGCATAATATAATAGAATGAGCTTTTCTAACAGCAAATAGACATATGTACATATACATGTGCTAATAAAATTTAATTGAACGCTAGTCGTACATACTTAAATACATACATAGTATGTGTAAGGCATGACGCGCACGCGCAGGTTCGCTGCTTTACAATTATCAGCCGTTTTCGCATTTAGTTTGTATTCGAATAAATATTTGTTTACTTTTAAATTATTTTATACACTTATGGTTGCGGGAAAATAAATACGGACGCGATGTTTTAACAACTTTTAACTTTGTTTATTCAGTGCTGCTTTCTCAAGTAGCTTATAAAATTTATCTACCCTTCAAACACACAATAAATTTTTAAAGCTACTTGTGTAAACGGCTCTTAATATTTATTTATTCTTTTTAAAGTATATTATAGCTCACTATCTGACGCAAAACCATGTATCTCAAAATTTTAAACTTTGTGCAAGATTTACAAAATTCGACGAATTTAATCCTGTGTTAATCAATATTTCAAACTAATTATGCAGAATTTAAATTTTTAGAAAAAATTTGGTATGCAGTTTTATAGCAGTAACTAGAACTTGCCGTTATTTTTTGCCCTTTTTTTGCTGGCGGTGTTGCGCATTTTCCTCCAAACATATGTATAAAAAAATTTTCCAACATACTCGTACTCCGTATGGGGAAAAAATCGTGACACAGCACAAAAAAATAAATAAAAAATTACTTGAAACTTGCACTTTATTCCACTGAAATTTTAAATTTTGGTGCAATTTTTTCGAATGTTTCCAACTTTTGTAGAAAAATTTAAATTCGGATTTACATGCTTTTTGTTAGGTAATGAGCTATACTTTCATAAAAAATAATAAACATTAAATTAGCAAAATAAAAATAGCTAACAACTTGTTAAAATGTCGCATCCCTATTTACTTTCCCATCTCTGTATAGTATAAGCACCATTTTTTAACATTCGATTTTGTTTACGTTAGATCTTTATTCACAGTTTGTATTTAATGTATATCGATTTATTATTTTTCGTTGTTTTGGTTTATTAATTACATATTTCTTTTTCGTTCTCTTTTCGTTTTATATACGTTTAAAAAAATATTTGGTTTCTGCTTGGCTGTAATGTAAATTGTGTAATAAACTAAAAACCAAACAAAACGATCCTATTTTTCCTAACCTCACCATTCCTTATATCCACTGCCTCCATCATTCCAACCCCATTCTACTTGCACTCATCCTACATCATGCACCATTTGCACACCTTTTCCCTACACCGACCTACCTGCTTATGCCCTGCGTGTGACAGTGATAAGTCCTGAGCTTATACGCGAGGTGGAATCGCGCATGAATCGCAATTACTTGCCACCTGCTTTAAAAATGCAGCAACATCAATCACATCCGCACCAGCATAGCGCAACGAATCCCACGCTCAGCCAATCCCCTCCCACTGGCGCCTTTGCGCCTTACCATTCGTCATCGAGCGCCAATATTTTGCCTACCCAGGCATTAGCAAATGCAGCCATGACGGCACAAGGTCCTCCTAACGCTTCTGGAAATAGTAGGCGTGTTCATTTCAAATCCACCAACAAGCTGCCAACCGTGCAAGAAGTTGGTAAGTTCTTTTTTTAAGTTATGTTATTTTCTTTTCTTTTAACACTTTTATTTATTTGTTTAAGATTTAACTTTATGTAAGTTGATTTTATATTCACATTAACTATTTTTGTTAATTTTTAATAATCATAGCCATTAATATTGTATTACTTTTACTTGCTAATGTCAAATTATGTTTTTTTTGTATTTCTTCTACCAGCATTAGCTTTGTTACATGTTTTAATTCGCGATTATATTTTTTTGAAACCTGCGCGTTTTTTACCCTCGACAATGTGCTACCCCCTTTAAATGCGTAATAATTAAGTTATTTTTAATATATCTTTGAAAAAACAAAAATCTGTATTTGACGTCTGCTGATTCGTAGTCGACTGAAAGTGAAATTTAAATCTTAACTTGAGTTTTATATTAGATAATAAGTTATTTCGAAACTGATAGTGTCGCCACATTCGAAATCGCAAAAAAAGCAGCCAACTTTTATTTTTACGCGAAACAGCTATCTCGATCTATTTATTTTTTTTTTGCAACTCGGAAGCCGTGTGGCTTATTGCAATTGACATTGTCTAGCTTTAGCAGGAAGTAATAAGAATTTAAAATTAATTAACAGTCTCAAATATAGAATCGTTCTATCAATAGCGCCATCTAAGGTAACCTGATACCCGTGTATTAATGGGTTATCTTGACATTTATTCCGAAGGCTACCTCTCATCTATGAGCGATGTAACAAACTCTGCGAAACTGTCTATCATTTCATATGTATGTATACAGCTTTCCACAGGCAAGTTTGCACCGACCCCTACTAGGTCATCGGGTAATCATTGGCCTTAAAAACGCTGCACTTGCTTTCAGATCCTTCAATTATCTGAAAGTTCGAAGCCAATCAGTGATCAGTAATTGAATTTTTTTTTTCAAAACTACCTTAACCCTAAGAAGGTGTTTCAGTGAAATCATGTGCTTTTTCTTAAAGCGTTATCTCCCCGATAAAACTATAACAGTCCACTTAGTACGAGTACGCGGCCGCAATAAAGAAGTCAAAGCTTTTGCCGATCATACGGGTACCGTACAAAAGAAAGCCGGAATAAATCTTGAAATACAGTTCGTAGATCACTCGCATATGAGAACCCCATGCGCCATCTATTAAAAAACTCTATTATGGCATCTACGGACTGTACCTCTGAATATAGGACGATTACTATTTCCGAAGACCAATCTCTATTACAAACGAAAAATTGGAATTGCTCTATGAAACCTACATTATATTTCCACAACTAAGCGATGTGTACGGTAGCAAAATTAAATTTCTTCTTGTACTATTTAAATAGACCTCATGGACGAGTTGTTGGTACTAAGTGCGTATTGACATGCTTTGTCGTGATTGCGTATGTGGCATACTTTGTACAATTCAGCTTATCTATCAAAGCGAATCTATCACGCAAAGCGAAGCAAGCGTTTTATCTGGTGAGCGTTTATCGTGAGCTAGTGCCAGAACTTGACACCTGTCAGTTTCTAAATCATTATTAATAGAAGATACATTCATGCATTGTCCGCTGTTGCCTTCTTTCAGTGACTGTCAAACATAAATCAAATCACGCAGCTTGCTCAAATCTTTACAGGAGTTTACTAACATACATTTGTATATTAGTTGGCAGGGGCGGAGAAATTGAAAAATTATTTATCACCAAGGTCGAAAAGTTTAAGCTTTTCCTTATTCTGAGTTTCCGAGCTTAATTTTAACTAGTGTTGGGCAGTATCGATACCAAAACTACTCAGAACTCGATTCCCAAAAGGATCGACCGCACTCGATTTTTAAAAGTATCGATACTGAGTACTCCAAAGAACTCAGTACTCAAGAAAGAACTCGAAAGTACTCAGTACTCACAAAAGAACTCGAAAGTATTTAGTACTCAAAAATACTCTGATCTCAGGATCGATTCAATGTACTCAGCATTAAGTGTCGAATAGGTACTTAAAAGTACTGTGTTTTATTTACATTAACATTTTTCTGGAGAGTTTTACTTCCAGCTCTCCTTAAAGGTAAAATTAGTAAGGTAAAACAAAATCCGCGCTATCAGGAAAAGAATTTTCTTCTAATTAATTTTTGAATTCTTTAGCCTAGATCCAAGAAATTTCGAAATTTTCCATTTTATCAACGCTTAAGTTTTGGCTTATATATACCAAATGCAACTAAAACTTTCTAAAGCTAAAAAAGTGCTAGAAAAATTTGAAAAGAACTAAAGAAAGAGCTAGCTAAAGTGCTAAATCTAGCTCCAAAAGCACCAAAATGGCAACGCCGATGTGCATATTTAAAGAAAGTACTCAGTACTCTCAAAAATACCCGATCCTTAAAAGTATCGATACCAAAGAACTCGATCCTCAAAAGTACTCGATACTTCCCAACACTCATTTTAACGATCATGCATATTTTTTTTATTACAATGTATAAAGCTAAGTTCGGAGCTTTTAAGTAAACGATCAAGAAATAAATTGCTATTGTTTCGTGTGTGTGAATAGTAGTGCACCGGACCAAAAGCACAATGGTTTTTTCAACCTAGTTAATGTGATTCAAATTGAACATTTGAGAACAAATTCGTATGTATAGCAGTGACTGAACGAGCAGAGGTGCTTGCTGTTATTTGTTGGCTTCCAGCAGTACGAATGCCCTCAGCGGCAACACATAATTTGTATTTTTATTTTTCTGTGTTTTGGTTTCTCTTTATTACGAAAAAGCCTCTGTGAAGTGCAGAACCAAATCAAACGACGAAGAAAATTGATTCAAGTAGTACAGTTGGAGACACATTTATAAAGCGGCTGTAGCTGAGTGTGTAGAGATGCTTGGAGTTATTTGTTAAGGCCGTCAGAGGCAACATATTAAAATGATATTAAAAATTTTTGTTTTGTATCTCCGCATTATGAAAAAGCATCTGTGAAGTGCAGAACATAAACTTATTCAAACGAAAAATCGCCAACCAAAAGTTTGGTGAATGTAAACAAAATTGTGGTTAATATTACCAAATCATTGTTGAAAATATCAACCAAGGCATTGTTAATATTAACCAAAAATCACGTTGATTCCTTTTCAAGTTTGAATTTGGTAATATTAACCAATTTTTGGTTGATTTTTCTCTCAGTGTCCAAGGAGTTTTGACATCTGATATTTTACAGCCTACTATCTCATTTTTTTCTTACGAAATAAGGGAACGGGCATATATTTCTGTTGAAAACTAGGGTACCTTATAGTACTCTTCACAAACAAACTTTAGCAAACCATAGTAGAAAGCGTAACAAATTTCTTAAGAAGTGCTTTAGAAAATTTGGCCCAATAAATTTTTCTTTCCCCTTTATTGGTCTTTTTTTGCTCATCAAACTAAAGATATGTTTGCAAATAATAACATAAAAACAGATTTGGTATTTTTTAACACCTAAACTTCAATTGCATTGCTGCTTGGATACAAAAATTTAAAACCAATGGTTCGTCTCTACGGGAAGGCATTGGTGCTGTTGAAGAGATTAAATATAATTTATTACAAATGGGGAATAACGGGGGAATAACGAATATTACAAAAATAAAATAAAACGACCAGCGTAGATCTCTATTTGAGAATATCAAGCAACACTTCTATGTCTATTGTAATTTTTCAATCCTTGAAATAAACTTAAATAAATAAAAAAAAAACAGAACGTCAAACTGTACTTAATTTATGTGGTTTTGCGAGCTTATTTACAAGTATATTTACCAATGTTTTAGTGCTTATCTAAGCGCTTAAAATGGATTTTTTCTTGCTTATTTTTTTCGGCCGTGTTTATCACTTACTGCGTATTTCCAAACAAAAACAGTTACCTAGCAAAAAATAAAGATAAAAAAATGTACACTGCTTCTGATATTTTATTGCTATTGGAGACCAAAAACACATACAGCCTAACAAAAAAGCAGTAAGAATAAAAACTTGATTATGGCAACTTAACTTAACTTAACGTAGCTAAGAACTTAGAAAATCCAAATGAAACAGACGTCGACGTGGCATTAAGTTGCGTTAAGTTTCGGCTGTCCAAATATAAGCAACATTCATTTAAGGGAATTTTTAAGTGACATCCTCTAAGCTACGTTAAGTTGCCATAATCAGACCTTAAGAAAGGCATTACTTTCAGAAATATACGAGGCACATTGTTTTATGTTTAATAGATTTTAAAAGTAAAAAAAAGACATATTAAAGAAAAACTTCAATTTTCACGGCTCAGCAAAAGTTTCGAAATTTTCAAGAGTTTTTCAGTTTCAAGAAATAACTTTCGCAAAAATGTCGAGCTTTTTAATTAGGCTTCATAGAAAGATTTTGGGAATGTAGTTTTATAGCCCATTTAATTTAGTTAATACAGTGCAAGTAGCTAGTACTTATAGCCCAAACACAATGAAAACGACGAGCTACGGACCACGGCTGTCAAATTATTTTAACACGTAATCTTATGTAGATAATTACTTTGGCGACGACTGGGCTACGCGACGACTGTGGTTATGGCCAGATTAGATCTATTTCTATTTTTCCAGCGACAGATAAGGTTCTTCCTCTTCTTTTATGTCAAACCTATACAAATTCATGATGTCGCTGCCGCATTCAAAAAAATCATATCGTCATCGACAAAGCGTTTAGATAATGAAGGTAACAAATTGGAAGCTGTGGCCCGTAGCTAGTCGTTTTCAATGTCTTCAGAACTTTCCTAAAATCAACTGAAAACTGCAAACATCCCTTAAGTACTAACTGCTTCAAACTTGCACTTCATTACACTAGAATTGAATGGGCAACAGAAATGCACACTAAGGGCTGGTTTCTCCAATTCAACTTAACTTAGTTTAGCCAGTTTTTGGACTTAAGTCAAAAGTTAGCCTACTTTTTACGCAGCATATTCTTGACTAAGTCTAAAAAATTGGCTAAACTAAGTTAAGTTGAGTTGGAGAAACCAGCCCTAAGTCGTTCTTAGAAATCTAATTAAAAAGCACGAATGTTTGTTGAATTTTTTTTTTAATACTTCACAAGTTTGAAACCTGTGGTGGGTTTATAATTATTACACGAGGTATATAACATTACGAGGAAATGAAAATATTGCCGTTAAGTAGACATAAATTGAGCCACAGTAAATTTCTTTGAGTATAAAAAATTGTCATCTACATAAGCAAAACTTAATCATTGTAAAATGTTTCTTCTTAGTTCCTAACAGAAAACCATTTCAAGATTATCTAATGCAATATTTCTTTAACACTAATACCCATCACTATTTTCTTTGTTTGTTCTTTTACCTCCGCTTAATAACATTTCAAAAACTATAGGACGCTACAGCCCCGTAAGGCGCGCATCCGAAGGATCGAAAGCACAATTCCAAGGACCATTACAAGAGTGTCAGTATCTGCAAAAAGTATCAGCACAACGTAATTTTTTGGTTGCACCAACACCGCCACTTTCAGATAATTCAATTAGTTTACCTGGTAAGCTTTACAAAAAAAAATCAGAATAGCAATATTTTAACTTGATTCAAACATACCTAATTCCTGTCGTAATCCTCAACTTGTTTATAGATTTTTTTTTTTTAATTGTGCTAGGCATCTTAGATTGAAGGGAAATATTTGCAGTTGTCCAGCCATTACCTACTAATTATTTAATAGTTCTACAGGACTTGTGTTCAATGGAGAGCGTTCCGGAGCAACGTACAAGCTGCAGTCTCCTTGAGATAAATCTTGAGCCATATTTTCCTAAAACCTTCCTATATTTTTATTGGCGCTATAAGCGCTTAAGTAGAGCTATATGAGACCTTGCTAGGGATTAAACAACTCGGAGAGTTAGTTTCATAGGGATATATACTGCTAAAAGCGAATTTAAAATCGAGAAGGAGGAAATTTAAACTCTAATTGTCAGTTTGGGTCGAGACAAAAAACTTTGCCAATTTCCTCTCTGCTTTGAAAAATTGAGTTAGTTGTCCATCTCGAGTGGTGATAAGTTCTTTTGCGCTTAGTCCTTCTATTATATTTGTGGCCGTCCTTGCTTTCGTTGTCCGCCTATAGGTGCCGAGTAGAAGTACCTTTACAATGGTGCCTCCTCTATACGCGAATAAACCTGAAAATTCATATATATGGGCTTTTAGACTCGCTGAACCCGAATCCGAGGTCCGTTAACCTTTGTTTATGTTGTCGCTAAATCCGAATATGGGGATCCCTTGGTTCTTCAAAGTCATCTAGATGTCATGCCAAGGTCAAATTCAGAAGAAGTATATTGAATTTTCAGGTTTATTCAATGCATTTTTTGCCCTACTTTACCCTAAAATGACCTCGAACCTGACGTGATGGAGGCTAACAGACCTCGGATTTGCATTCATAACATCGGTTGGTTCAATATGGAGACTTTTTTTGTAAACCTATGTAATCTATGATATGAGCAACTTGTTCCTAGTTTTGGATTCTGAAGGGCCAGAGAGGTAGTAACTCTTCTTTGGGTAGCTTGGAACTAGACGATTGGGTCCACGAAACCTTATACGAGTAATCAATAAAAAACCAATGTTTGAATCAAGTTAATTTACAACAAAAAAAAAACTCTGAAACAAATTAAAAATATGCTTAGCTTGTTTGCACACTCAACTTATCTCCGTATTTGTATATAATCATCTATAATTATTTATCTACATACTAAGCTATTACCGCTCCTTCAAAAACTTATTTTCGTTATAGGTTCCCCCCATACATGGCAAGCCCGCTCCGCACATGATATTCCGTCGTGGTCAAGATATTGAGGTACCACCTGAAGCTGTACGAGCTCTGATGCCGCAGCTTGATCGCCTTGTCAGGGAGCATCGACTGAGCACGGATATAGCCAATAAAGTAATAGCTACTGGTATGGTGCCGCTTGACTTAGCGTCCCATTTGGGCTTGACAGCACATTCCGCAAGTGCTGCCGTAAGTGGTGGCCACCTAGAGACGGCGTCGTCTCCCATGCAACACCAAGCAATGTATAGTTTGAGTGTGTCGCCACTCTCCTTGCCAAATAGCGCTAGCGCCAGCGTTATGGGCGCCGTTAGTGGACCGTTAACGGCACCACCAACTGCATGTAGCCACAATATGGGTGCACACTCGAAACAGATGCTGGGTCAAGGTCCATACCAGCAACAGTATTTGGGTCTAATGCATCCGCAAATGCATTATCCCGGCAATGGACTGGTTGGTCAATTCAGTCACATAACACTTAGTGCGGGTGTGAGTACTTGCGCGAGTCCAGGTCAATTTAGTGGTTCAAATAGCAGTAGCGGTTGTCAGTCGCCCATTTATAGCAGTTTTAGCGGCTCATCTTCACCCAACCCCTATATGCCAGGCGCAGGGCCATTCAATCCCTGCAGTATTGTCGGCAGCGGTGGCGGCGGTGGTGGCTCATCACCACTGCATCAAATTACGAAAGGTATCTCGGTGCTTTCCACTGGCGGCGGTGGTTCGATAACACGCGGCACTTCAGCTGCCAGTGAAATAGCCTCCTCCGCAGCCGCCGCTGCTGCTGCAGCCAATCAGCCGCTAGATCTTTCCATGGATGTGTGTGCTTCGGACAGCTCTGCTGCGGAAACGCCCACGAATGCATTTGCTCAACAACATGTCAACTGGATGTTGCCGCAAGTAACTTGCTTCGATCTCAAGCCGCTAAATTTGTCGCCAGCACAACCGGTGCGGGTTGTGCCCACGCCACCTGCCTCGCCCAATCTTTGTATCATACAGGAGGAGAATGCCAATGGACAAATGTATCATACCATCACAACGGGTACGCCACATGCAGGCTGCACCGGCGGGCTAATCAACGAGGATTTGGCATCGCCATGTCAACCGTCGCATCCGCAAATATGTCTGACAGATGTGCAGGGCAGCGAGATCACGTTGGTGGCGCTGAGTTCGGAAAATAGCCGTGACAGTGACTGCGATTCGCTAGAGCCGCACACGTCTCTGATGTCATTACAGGTGAGTGGTAGCACCAAAGGGAGTAGAGTACGAATATTTTGGTAAAATTGTGGATCGCGAAAATCGCGCAAAGTCAAACTTTTTTTTGTAGAAAAAACACACATTTTCGATTACGTCCAAAATAATTACTCTATTTCTCCAACAGGGACTTATAATCACTGAACCTTCCAGCGATATGCCTTCGATTACACGTGGCATAGGACGCAAAACTAGTTTAGAATGCGCTAACGACAGCCACACGACGCGTCTAGAAAGCGATGCCAGCACGTCCAGTAATGCACAAAACGCCAGCGATTCACATCGACGCGGCAGTGATAAATCGCTTGGCTTCTCCGACGATTCACTAAGTAATGATTCAAACAATCTCTCACCCTGTCAAGAGCCTTCCGCTAGCTCCGGCTTCAAATCGGACTCACATTCCGAGATTGGCGATCATACCGAGGGACATTTATCACCCGATTCCATTTGCGATTCACGACGCATGTCAGAAGAGATGTGCTACGAAGTGCCGTTGCCGCATGAATGCTCCAACCTTGACCCGACACGCATACTGGAGTTGGTCAAACAAACCATTGACCAAACGATGCCACCAAAAGGTGCAGTCCTGCACAAAGGACTGCCGGAAGAGTACGTTGGTAGCGCGAGCGTAGCTGGAGCAACTGGTGAGACGCGCATAAGTAACGCCAGCGAATCATCAGCGACATCGATGGACACAAGCAGTAGCACGTCAGGCTACTGTGGCGGCTTTGGCGGTACCGTTGGAGGTGGCGGTAGCACAAGTACAAATCTTAGCTTGGAGTACTCGGGCGGCCTACAAATCGAGTTGCAAGTGTGTGAAGGCCGCAGCCGTGACAATCAAACGGCTGGCAAAGGTATCAAACTGCGACGCATCTCGGGCGATCAATTCGAATATGGCAAATTGTGTCAGCAGTTGATTAACAAGTTAACCATGCAGCAGGTAGCCGGTTAAGTACAAGTGCAAGTAAAAAGAATTGTAAGCGTGAGTAAACCGTGAGCACTTTGGATGTACATACCTACATATGTATGTATGTAGTATGTGCATAGCATTTATGGTAGCACGTGGCGTGGCGTATAAGTAAGGCGTGTAAATCAGGAGCGTGTAAAAGACATAAGTAGAAAATAGACACTACTGTTGAACGTTGAATAAACGTTAGTACAAAATCGCAATCGTACACACAAGTCAAAGCGTTGAATTCTGTAGATTTCCAAAAATCCGTATGTACATATATATAACTAAGTACGTGTGTATTAGATTAACAATTTTAAATCTTTATTCCTCTAAATGTGCGTGCGTATGTATGTATTTTTTTGTTATTATATATTTAAGAATTACCGGAACTGAACAGATTTTTAATCGATCGATGTTAGTGTTTGTATGCAATTAGCGCGCTCTGCGAGATTTTAAAGCGAAAGGCAACCAGCGGTAGTTGCATTAACACATACCTAAATATGTATGTAACTGTAATTAGTATGCAATTTAGGGACGAATTAGCTTAACAGAAGAACTAAAAAACATGAAATGATATATGCATCCATTTACATTAGAGCGGGTCAATTTTTTTACTATGCGCGTATAGCCGTGTAATTCTAAGCAAATTTGTCGAAGAAGCCATGTGTCTAACATCAATTTGGAGTTGGCCAAATTACGAAAATAGGTTTGGAATAAAATGTAAAAATTTCTACTATTGCGCCCTCTGGTGGAAGTCCTAAAAAAGGTTAGGTGCAGAAACCGATTTCTCATACCAAAACCCCCTATAGCAAGTTTGTGTACAAAATTTAAGCACTTTTTTACGAGACTACAGCAAAATGGTAAGAAACCCATTTTCGCAATATGGCAAACTCCAAATGGATTTTAGACTAGACCCATGGTTTCTTCGAAAAATTTGCTTAGAATTACACGTAAAATCTTTTTGGGCTATGCGCTTATAGCCGAAAAAATCTCCCATACATATTGACCAGCTTTAATGTACATAATATGTACATAAGAATGCATAACTCTCTATATAAAAAAATCGGTGCTGTTTTTCTATCGGAAATATAAAATCTATTCTATTTTAAGTCTTCCGCCAAAATATTTTAGAAAAATATTAAGATTTGCGTGAGCTGAACCTTTTTGAAAATTCCTCCAAAAATCTGCTTTTTTATAATAATTATTTTTTTAATTTTTTTTAAATCACCTTACATGTTAAATGAGTTTGAGCTTAAAAGGTGTGAATGAAAATGTTTAAAAGATCCTATCAACGTAACGAAAATAAAGTAATTTTTGGGTTTTTTCAAAACGGTCTAGCTCACATAAATCTTAATATGTTACCGAAATATTTTGCGGAAGTCTTAGAATATAATAAATTTTATAATTCCTTTGGAAAACCCGCAACGTATTTTGGTGATGCACCCTTATGTACATAGATATATTTATATTTAATTTCTTTTTTACAACAGCAAATCGCTTTTTTTGTAAATATAAATTCTAAATTATAAATACGCGGTAATAACCCAAATCCATGTTATTAAGTACATATACATATACTATATATGTATGTATTTATGTATAGAGTTCCAAAAGTACCCAGTCTGTAATTGCACAACACTTCTTTGTAAATATGTGAACGCTTCCAGGCAGTACTTACTTTTGGAAGTTCCGTTAGAAGATTACCAGTATTTAGCGGTAGCCAAAGTGGCAGAGACAGTTCTTCATAGCGTGGTATCACAAATAGAAAGGATTTGCCCTAGGGGAAACTCATTCCCTGCTGAAGTCGAAAACCAGAAGTCTGATGAGCTGATGTGGTGATCTCCGAAATAACAGCTATAATTTCTAGCGCTTAGACTTTGTTGCTCTTTCAATTTTTTCTGAAAATAAATTTTGGTATAAAGCTGAATAATTTGTTGAAGTAAATAGCTGTTTTTTGGTAATTAAGATAGTAGGTATTATGTACCAATAATACACGGGAAAATGAAGTCTTTGGAATTTTTCCGCTGTCATCACCCAGAATTATGGAAAATAAAAAAAATAGGAAACCCATATTTTTTTTTTTTGAAATCGGTTAAAACTCTTTAATGATGCCACCAGGACTTTAAATTTTTCCATGTAAATATAATTTTTCGTGCAACTGTTATAACACCGTTAAAAATAAAATAAATATTTTTTTTCGAATGAAATAATTTCCCTTTAGAAATCTTCGAAAACAATTAGGATACATATTTTACTTAAAAATTTTATCAACTATTTTTACTCCAAAAATCGGGGGAACGAACCGAACCGAATCATTTTTTGGAGTGATTTTTGGTTCGGTTTTGGGATTTTAAAATAAAAACGGTTCGGTTCGGAGCCCGAAAAAAAGCGACGGTTCGGTTCAAAACCGGTTTGCAGCCCTGATTTTTACAGTTCGTGCGTGATTCG